TTTATTTTATTTTATTTTATTTTATTTTATTTTATTTTATTTTATTTAAGTGAGCATTTTATTGAAGATCTAACAGACCACTTGCAGTAACAGTAGACTGCCTACCAGAAGAAGCATCATCGTGGAAATGAAGATGAAAAGAGAATGAGAGGTGCAGAAGCACGACCACCATTAACTGACAGGAAAACAGCTCCCTGTATTTGAAAGACATGAAACAGAATTTGAAGTGTGGCACTCCTTTGTCTGAAATGCAGGCCTCAGAAAGAATACTGCCCTACAGTACAGTTCTAATCTAAAAAAAAAAAACCCACAACAGTTCCTATTACTTTTGCAATAATGTTTATACGCTGCGGGTAAGTATTTATGGAAATAACTATATACAAATATACAGCATTTATGAAAATAAGCCATCACACTGTAGGAGATCTGTATATACAAAATGTGAGCAGGGCTTGATACCGACCTTCCCAAACCTAAGCAATGATGAATCATAGGAAATTGAGCTTCACCACTTGCACACAAAATTACTTGCACCAGGAGAGCATTAGCCCTTTTCAGAGAAGGCCATCTCTTGGCATAAAAGAGTTCAACTCTTGTTTTGAGATATGAGGTAAGGCAAGAGTAGACTGAAGTAACATGAAATTGCTGTGACATGTGGATTACTTGAAGCTATAGCTGTTCTTTAACTGTTCTGGAGCTGTTCTTTATCAGAAGAGCTTTGATGTGGGCCTAATAACAAAGATTTGCCTTAATAGCTGGCACTTGGCAAATGAGTGTAGCTTGGCAAGGAAAAGATCTCAACTCCTGATTCTCCTAGACTTGTCCTGTGTCAGACCTTTTTAATCTGAATGTGTTGCTCCCAGGCAAATGTTGTGCTGTGCTCTGTGGTTATCTGCAGTAAGTCCTAGCACCAGACATGCTTAGATACAAAAAATGAGTTGTTGTACAAAAATGAAAAATTACGATAAAGAAGCATACAACAGTAAAGCATTGCTGGAATATATGTGAAAATACTTTCCTAAGTGTATTTTAGAATTTTTCTGACGTATATGGAGGCCGCAGAAGTTTCAGCAGCATTTAATATGCTAAATTGTATTTGTCAGAATGTTTATTATTCATTGCTGGCTGCTCCTTTCATCACCTTGGGGCTAGTTTTGAGGTTTTGAATTTTAATCTTCATCACATACATTCATCTTTTACAGTACTTATTTTTCTATTATCTCCTGGGAATGCAGCATCTGGATTTCTAATAAACATGGCAGTGGCAATACTGGCTTTTCTTTACAGATTGGTATGAACTCACCAGATGACAACTGTATATGTGATAAAGCTTTCAGAACCTTACTTCAGTACTGTTACTGTACTTCTTAACTGGAAATTATTTCTGGGATAAATATCCTAACTACCCATCACAGGACATCCTGCACGAACTGCCATGTGAACTGTATCATAAATAGTGCACATTTAATGCAGAAGTTAGAATATTTGCTGTCACTACATTCTTGTGGCTTTCATGAGGAAGAAAACGAAGACAGTGGACATCTATATAGGCTTTTAAGTGACTGCTTAGAGTAGCAGATACATGGAGAATGCTATGGAGAACAAAGATGTCACAGGAAACTTTAGTTTTCTTCCTAGTGCTGTAAGAAATCATAGTGCAGGAAATAATTAGTGAGATTCTCCACAGCTTCTGAAATATTATACCAGTCTTTTTACTTTTTTTTTTTTTTTTTTTTGACCTTGAGCTAG